TGGTTCAAACCCACCAGCCACTCTGCAGAAGCAAGACTGGACACTCTTTACTTTTGTAAAGAGTTACTGCCTCAGAAACCCAATGAGGGTCACTATGAATCAGAATCCCCTCAATGGCAGTGGGTTTGGTCTTTTGGGGAAGAAACAAATTATTTTAAGAATACAAAATAAAAAAATTTAGAAGCTTTAGTCCCCTGCCCACCCCCCATCTTTGTTTTCTTTTTCTTTTTTTAAGAAAGCAGAAACTTTGGGAAGGAAAAGGAAAAAGATTGTTGGTGGGGGAAAATAACCTGCATATAGTCTGTATATTCCATGAAGCTAAGAAGGTAGTTTTTAAACGGAATACTTGGTGAAGTCATGGAAATGCAACTTTGGTAACTATTTTAGTAAATTCTGCTTTTTCATCTCTCTCTCCAAGTAGGCATAGTTAATCCTCCCCAGTGGTGCCGTGGGTGGGAGATATAGAACAAAAACCAAACCCAAACCCATTGGCTCTTGAGTCATTCCAACTCAGCAACCCTATAGGACAGAGAAGAACTGCCCCAAGGGTTTCCAAAGCTGTAATCTTTATGGAAGCAGAGTGCCACATCTTTGCTGATTTTGTGTTTAACACTGCACCACCAGGGTTACTTGTTATAGGACAGAATAGTGGTAAAGGAAGAAGAAAAAATAAGATTCGTATATTTTGACAGGCTATGGAGTTCAAGAGAGTTCGGTGCTTCAAATTAATGTTCTCTGATTCTCTAGAAAACAAAGGGACCACATAGAGGCCATCTGGAATGCTGATCTGTCCACTTCAAGTTACCCAATAATAGAGAAGAAATCACTGCATTCACTCTGGGACCAGCTGGGTGGGTACCCAGATATTCCTAGGCTGCTCCAGTTAGATGTTCAATCTACCTTCAGAAAATCTCTTGCATCCATTCAATCACAGTAAGTTAAGGACTGGGAGCACACTGGTAATGGGGCTGTTGGTCAAACAAGAGGAACCTTTGTTTTCCTCATTTGAATTTTCCTATAGCTTGAAAGTGTTTAAAAGGAGGTTAGACTCACACTAGTCATAAAATGTAAAACAAATAGCAGTTGCTGTTGAGTCATTTCCAACTCATGGCAACATCATGTATATGTCAGAGCAGAAGTGTGCAACATACAAAGGTGTTCAATGCAGCTTTTTCAGAAGTAGATTGCCAGGCCTTTTTTTCTGAGGGTCATAAAATACTATAGGTAAATTCAGCATTGGTCTTTTAGTGTTTCTCTTCCTAGGCCTGCAGATGTCACTATTGAATAATGCAAAACAAAAAGCTAGTTATAATACCATGAAACCTAATGTAACAGTACACAGATTCACTTTGAATTCCACCTTTAGGGACTACTTATTGGAAATTCCAGAAAGACCATGATAGAATGATTGTGTTCTTAGGAGAAAATAGGTAAGATGGTCATGTGGTTGCACATTTCCAAATTCTGTTGAACCAGAGCCTTCACTTAAACCACTGGAACTCATCCAGTGGAAGTGAAGGTCTCTGGAGCCTGCATTTTCTCTTTCAAGAAAAGGAAATTATTTAGGTCAGTGCATTTTTTTTTTTAATGCAGTGTTCCCTCCCCTCCCTTCCCACCCCTAGTAACCAACAAAGAAAGTTTCCTTCCATATATAAACAAGAAAGAAAATTATTTAATGTCCTAAACCAAGAATCTAGAAAACTGAACTTCCCTAACTTGAAAGAACTCACATGAGAAGTCTGATTTATTCTGATGAACTCTTAAGAGTTTCCAAGTCCTGAGGTAAGAAGAAGTAGTGTTAATTCACAGGTTTGTTAAGGTGGCAGACACGATAAGAGATTTTTAATTATTTTTATGGAAAAATAATAGCAAAAAATATTACTATAAATGTATACAATATAAAATCATATACTCATGAGCACAGGTGTTCATTTAAAAAATCAGACTAAAAGTCACCATTAAGTTGAATAAGCATGACTAAAGCTACAGGTTATAATCAGATAGCATCTTTACTTTGGTCCCTCATTTTCCCTTACATTTGTTTTGGAATGAGTAAGTTAATTTATTTAGGTTATTTGGAATGATAACATTGCTGATTTGAGGGATAATGTTGCTAGTTTAATGATTATAGTGCTTGAGACAGAATTATAAAATTTTCTTGGAATGGTATTTCCCCTACTTCCATTCCATAGTTAGTTTCAACTATCAGATATCTTCTTAACCTAACTACCTACTGCTTATTCATAATAAATACCCACTTCCAGTTCACTATTTAGAAAGACTCAGAATCAAGGGGCTTTGATTGCTTTCATGGAGTTCTCATTTGTGTCATAGATTCTTTTAGCCATAATGTACATATAGTAGTGTACAGTTCTGTGTTTTGACAAATACAGAGTCATAGCAACTACTAATCTGTTTTCTGTCCTTACAGTGGTACTTTTTCCAGAATGTCATGTAAATGGAAGCAAACAATATATAGCTCTTTGAATCTGGCTTTTTTTCCCTTAGCATAATTCATATGAGTTTCATCCATAGTGTTGTGTACATCCATGATTCTTCCCTTTTTATCACTGAGTAGTAGTATTCCATTTTATGAATGTATCATGTTTATCTAGCCACCAGGTGAGGGACACTTGAGTTGTTTCCAATTTTTGACAATTATGAATGAAGCTGCTCTAAAAATGGTAGGTTTTTGGGTGAACATAAGTTTTCATTTCTCTTAGATAAACACCTAGGAGTGTGATTGCTGGTAAGAGAAAAGTATGTTCAACTTTACAAGAAACTGCCAAGCTGTATTCTAAAGTGACTGCATCCTTTACATTGATTCAGTGGGGCTAGTTCGCTAGTTCTTACCTTGCCTCTGGATGAAAACCTATGACATTTGGTCCCATGACATTTCTGGTAACTTTTTAGTAATAAAAGTTTCTCTGGCAATTAATTCAAGTGTCCAGAACCATGCATGACTAAAATTTTGAAGTTGAGGCTTCTCTCCTCTTCCACTTTAGACTATTGCAGCTTAAAGTCTTCCCCATGAGGATGTGGGTAACTTCTTTTCTCTTTTCATGGCCTAGTGCTTCTGCTCCTACTTTTCTAGCTTCCAATGGTTAGTGACTCCATATGGATTAGAGCACTGGGAAGGTAGGAGGGAAAAGGGAAAATTGCATTGACTTACTGTTGAGTGTTCCTGATGCATTTGCTAATATCATTGCTTTCTGGATATGGCAGATTTTTAAAGCTGACTCTTTCATGGAGCACTTTGGTGAATTCTTTGGATATGCCACTGGAGATCTCTCATTAGCAGTTTTCTTGATCCAAGCAAATGCATTTATATTCCAACTAGTCATTTACATTTATTTCTTCTTCAGCCTCTTAGGGGAGCTCTGGTAGCATAGTGGCTAAGACACTTGCCTGCTAACCAGACGGCTGGCGGTTCAAACCCACCAGCCACTCCTCGGAAGGAAGGTTGGGCAATCCTACTTCCGTAGTGATACTGCCTCGGAAACCCAAGGAGGGAATCCTGTGATATCTCCAGCTTTTCCCTGCTAAGGTGTTAGTGTACTTAGGCAATCCTCTTGGACCAATCTTCTTGGTCCAAGAAGAACCCATGCCATCTTTCTTGGGTGTGTGTATGTGTTCCACATCTAGTCAATGGAAAACACTCAAGTTTTCTGTCTGGACAACCTCTGAAGTTGAAGCCTTATCCCAGGATTACAGCAGCCATCTTCTGTGCTTCTTTAGTTAGAGCATCTAGTCCGCCAGCCTCCTGCTTTTAGCTTTTCTCCATGTATGGAATCATGCCCCTGTCTACTGGGCCTCCAATCTGCAGGGGCCCATGTTAAACTCTCATAGTGAAGGAAGGGTAGGAGCTCTTTCAAAACCCTCTTATTGGCTATTTTATACCCTGAGAGTGAAGAAGATATTCATGACTTTTGTAACTGGCTCTTTGTCAATTACTTTGCAAATCCTAGTCTAGCACTTCTCTTTGGAATTTGGTGTTTACTGTTCGGGTTGCCAAATTTAGCAAATAAAAATACAGGATACCCAGTTAAATTCAAATTTCAGATAAACAATTAATGATTTAGTATAGTGTGTTCCATGTAATATTTTACTAAAAAAAAAAGATTCATTTCTTATCTGAAATTCAAGTTTAACTGGCGTCTTATATTTAAGCTTGCAACCCTTCCACTGTGCTTCACCAAAACTTCCATCTTTACCTGCTATTACGTGTGAAATCTGTATTCGGAGTTTCTAACTTTGGGGGTGGGGGTGTGTTTAGGTGCCTGAAAACTTTCAGAGTAGGAGAAACCATAAACAGCAAAAAAAAATTAAGACATCAAAGGAAATAAAGAGGGAGGGAAGTGAAGTCTTAAATATTCAGTAGGCCTGAGAAATATGTTTTATATTCACTAAAAACAGAACACAGAAAATATCAACATTAAATTAAATTAGTAATAATGGGTGCCATATGATCCATTGCTATTAACCATTTTCCTCCCTCCCACCTCCCACTTTTTTTTCTCACTAGAAATTATTCAAAGTCTTCTTCTCCCAAAGAGAGAACTACTACTTTGTTGTAGTTCGAGTGCAAGCCAAGAGACTTTTTCTCTGTCTAGGTTTAGTTATTTATACCATCCTTTAGGTATCAGCTTAAACAATCACTCCTCTCAAGATACCTTCTCTAACCCCTTCTACATGCACCCACAGCATCTCGTAATTAATATTCTCGTAGCACTCACCTATCTGTTCTGAAATTGCCTCATTATGTTCCCCCCACCCCGATTTTAGACAATATGTTTTGGGGAAATTAGGTGCATATTGTGTTCATCTGCTTCTATTTTTGTTCTGCCTGCTTTCTTTCCACAAATGTTTACTGACTATTTACTACATGCCAGGTGCTACAACTAGGCACCGGGATATGACATGTGGGAAGAGCCCAAGAGACCATGGATGCTAGGCAGAATGGAGAACACGTGCAAAGATTCAGAACATTGCTTCTTTTGCTTTATCTCCTAAAACATAAACAAACAACAAAAAACTCCCAATTCCTCAGTCCCCTTTCTTCCTATTTCTGGTAGGGGTGATAAAAATTATGTAACTAGCAGTGAAATTTCTCCCTTCTTACTGACTTGATGTATATGTGATGCTTGGAGCTGTGGCCATCTTTTGCAACCTTGAGGTGATAACCATGACAACAAAGACAATTCACTGACAATTATGAGAAGAAAGAAACACTGAGTCCTTGATGGTATCACTGATTGCTAGAACAACCCTGAGCACACCTGCCTCTGGGCTTTGTGTTAAGTGAGCAATAAATAACCTATGGTTTCCACCACCAAAAGGTATTACTAATTTATTTAGTTCATACTTTTTGCTTTCAGGAAAGCCTTCCATGATCTCCCTATTACCTATAAGTGCCATTCCTCCAGACTCCATAATATCCTAAGCTTATTACCATAACATTACATTTATCGTATGTTTTATAATTATCTGTTTCTGCATCTATCTCTCGTTGGAAAGAGAACTTGAGAAAAAGAGAACTCTTCTATTTATCTTTGTATCCTCAGAAGTCTGGCATGTTGCCTGGCCCATGAGATATTAAAAAAAAGGTTTGAATTTGAATGTATGAATAAGTTTGTTTCTGTCCCCAAGGTGTTATTAATCAAAGTAGGGGATGAGGAAATATTGAGGAACTACAAAAGATAATAACCATCAGAAGAACAATTTTCAACAGGCCTCTCTTAGGGCAGAGGAAGATTTGGATGTGTGTTAGAATGTTTATTAAGTGAGGGAATAATATCTGAGAAGCAGTAATAAGAACGGTAATACTTCATATTTCTTCATTTGTATAGTGCTTTTCACAAAGAGTCATTGTATTTTCAAATTTAAATCTCACAGCCATCCTGGTGAGGTAGGTAGAACAGACATTTTGGAGACCAGGAAGCTGAGGCAGAAATAGAATTTCAAATAAGTTCTCTATACTACACTACAGACATCGGAAACTTACCTTAAATAAATGGTTGAAATCTTCTTCCACTGCAGTAAAGACCAAATGATGTGAAAAATCTTACTAAGCAGTAAGCAAAGGTCAGGGTCACTTCGAATCATTGATCTGCCATTTCTCTCTTTGTCATTCACCTTGTGTCTCTGTCTTTATATATCACCTACAAGCACACACATAAGCATATTGCCTTTTTTGCTTTTTACCATTCATATCTTTGTTTAAAATACAGTTAGAAAAAGCTGGTATATAGTATGATATGCTATAATCCTTCACCTCCCTAAGGGATGGCCCTGGCTGTACACTTGAAAGCAAGTAAAAGAAATTTAATGTTCAAATGTTTGCCTTGACTAGTTAGCACATTTCCTCATAGGACACAAATATAAATCAGAAAGTTGGCTGGCAAATATAGAATTAGGGCAGAAGAAGCTACTTACGTGTTATCAATAGTTGTGAGATGAGGTTTAACTTGGATTCATCTCCCCTCTAAAGAGGTATCTAACAAGAAACATGGACACTTATGCTGGCTGAGAGGCACACTAAAAACATGCTCTCTGACACAGGCTTCTTGTTTCCTTACTTGTTTCTTGTTTCCATGCTGACCGGTTGCCATACCATTAAAAATTTTTTTCTTAAACAATTGAAATTTATTATTTTTTTTAAAAAAAGGAAATTGATTTCCTGAACCATATATATATATATTCTTACAATTTTCAGAAAATATAGAAAGCATGAAAAAGTTGATTGAAAAATCATTCCTGATTCCTACCATTCAGGGATAATATCAACACTAACAATTGGCATGTACTTTTAAATTCTATGCACTTATTTTTTTGTTGTTGTGAAAATGGGTTCTTATTAGACACATTGTTTTTTAGTCTGCTTTGTTTTTCACTTAACAACATATCTTTGAAATGTTTCTATGTTAATAAATATAGATCCACATCACCATTCTTATTGGCTTCATGATATTCACTCTACAGATAAAATTTATTGAAGTGTTCTATTGATGGGAATTAGGATACAATTCTACATTACAAACAATGCTGCACTAAATATCTTTGCACAAGTTTGTATGTTTATTATTTTCCTATGAAAAAGTCCATTAAAATAACAGTTTTTTCCAATGGCAAAGTAATGTTTATTCATTGTGGAAAATTTAGAAAATAGAGACAAGTCCATCCCCAGAAATAACAACCACTGTCAATCTTTAAGCCATGCTCTAACTTTAGGTACATGAATATTGTCTAATAAGCTATTGCCAAGCCCTGGAAAACATTCTGCCTCTTTAAGGTGAGGTTTATGGATTACATACTGACTTCCCTAGTTTAACAATCTAAGTTCTGGAGGATCTTTTGTTTTCCATATGAATCACCATCTATATTCCCATAAATGTGTTTAAAAGTAACTTGTAATAAGATTAATTTTCTTGTCTTGTTTCTAGGTTTAAGAAGATTCCCAAGTGACTGTAAAATTAAACACAGGCATGTTGAAAGTAAATTTCAATATGTTTCAGTAAAATGTCTATTTTGCTATCTTTTATGTATGTATGTTGCTTGGTCTATCCTTTGCTTTTGTATTCTGCCTGTAGTTCTTCAGGCTGAACACCTCCATTTACAGACTATACTATGACACTACAAGGAGCTTTGGCGGCACAGTAGTTAAGCATTTACTGCTAACTGAAAGGCCAGTGGTTGAACCCATCAGCTGCTCCATGTGAGAAAGATGCGGCAGTCTGCTTCTGTAAAGATTTATAGCCTTTGAAACCCTCTAGAGCAGTTCTACTCTGTCCTATAGGGTCAATATGAATCAAATCGATGACAGCAGTGTATGTGTGTGTGTGCGTGTGTGTGTTTTCACTATGACCACTCAAGAAAGAGTAACTTCCACTCTAGATTACTGGAATCACAAAGATGCAACAAACCCTGGAGTAGTCTGAGTCATAGAGAGGGCTTCATTATGACCCTTGACACGAGAGCAAAATGGTAATCTACCTCACCCAATCCACCCAGTAATACCTTGTTGTTGTTGTTATGTGCTGTCGAGTCGGACCCAACTCTTAGCAACCTCTCCTTGGGTTACCGAGGAGGCACCACTATGGAAGTAGATAGCCCAACCTTCCTTCTGAGGAGTGGCTGGTGGGTTTGAACTTCCAGCCTCCTGGTTAGCAGTCAAGTGCCTCAGGCACTATGCTACCAGAGCTCCATAGTAATGCCTTAGAAGTAAGAAATTAATAGATATGAAGAAAACAAAAACTAAATTCACTGCCATCGAGTTGATTTTGACCCATAGAGACCCCCTTTGGGTTTCCAAGGAGGCAAATCTCTATGGAAGTAGATTACCCAGTCTTCCTTCCACAAAGTGGCTGGTGGGTTTGAACTGACAATCTTCTTGTTACCAGTCAACTGCCTTAGGCACTGACCAGGAGAAACCTCTGGACAGTCAAGAGGAGATTATGATTTAGTAAAGGAGAGAAATAGTATCCCTGGGAGGAGGAAAGGCAGGTTCCCAGAATGAGGCAGGGAGTAGATTTGGGGAGAACATTTGATATTTGAGTTGGGCTCTTCCACCACATTGCCCAGAGTAAATCACTGTCTCTTTCATCAGTCTACTGCAATACTAAAAACCGAGAGTGCCAAATCACCACTTCAGAGGTGCCAACCTGTTGATGTTGAGTTGTTGATTCCAACTCATAGTCACCCTATAGGGCAGTGTATAACTGCTACAAAGTGTTTCTAAGGCTGTAATCTTTACAGAAAAGATTAGATATTGAAAGCATACTTCCGTATCTTTCTCCCACAGAGCAGCTGGTGAGTTTGAACCACCAACCTTTTGATTAGCAGCCAAATGTTTATTGTTCTACCAGGGCTCCTTACTATTGGGATACAGGGTAAAAATCAGTAAATGCTAGCTCAACCAGCATCTAAGGTTTTTCTCCTACTTTATTGTTCCAGGCCCTCTTTTCACCCAGAAGGGGCTGGACAGCCTTGTTGTTGTTGTTGTTGTTAAGTGCCGTCGAGTCGTTTCCGACTCATAGCGACCCCATGCACAGCAGAACGAAACACTGCCCGATCCCGCACCAGCCCC